TGTAAGGTCTGAATATGCAAGGTACAGGGGACCTTCTATAAGGCGCTGAACACACTCAATTCTCATTGAAATCAATAGCAGTTGAGGGCACTGTGCACCTTGCAGAATCAGGCCTCCCATTAATATTAATATTGTTGTCTGGAAGCTCAGGAGAGGCAGAAATAAGTGTCTGTTCCTGTTTTTCACCTTCACTGAAGAACTGACCAGTGGAACTGCTAAGCACCAGAAAAGGAAGGGACCTTTGTGTGTTCCCCCCACCTTTTCATCTCCCTCCCTTTCCCTCATCCCTCACCCCAACATATTTTCCTCTCTAATGGGTGTAATAATCCACTGACTCCCAAGTAGTGGGTGAGGTGACTGATGTCAAACAAAATGGTTAGTCCTTAATAGAGCTAGTCTTTCTTTATTCAATAACTAAGAGAAAAATTCAAATGACTAAAAGAACAAAGGGACCTTGAACCCCCAACTAGAGATCTCCAAATCCCACATACTGGTAGAGAAAGGCAATTCTGATACTAAGAGCTTTTTTACAGGCTGTCAGAGAGTACCAGAAGAGTCCAAAGAGGAGCTCCCTGTGGGCCAACATCCCACTCACAAACAAAGTACAACAAGGAAAGATAGGGGATGTGTCTGTCACAAAAGTAGTCAATAACAAATCATTGTCTCAAATAAGCTCAATGAAATTTGAGATGCAAGCCAGCTCCAAGGAGAATAACTTGGAGTTAGAAGCAGAGTCACCAACATTCATGGTTTTATCATGAATATCACAGTATCCATGTATTATTGAAAGCCCCAGCTCCTAAAACACGTGATGACGAGAGAATCTTAGCTTTCATTGAAAAGAATAAATGTCTAGCCTTCATGGTTGCAGATAAAAGCTTCTGACTGAGACCTGAGGGCACCCTAGAGGTTCATAAACCAGAACTCCAATAAACAGAACACACCATTCATTGGCTAAAAAAAAAAAAAAAAAAGTTTTTTTTTTAATCTCATGATTTTGAGGAGATTGAATCATGATTTTGAACACTGAGACTGATTGAAGCAGTGAGCCACATTCAGGTATACTAATTGATTTAAATGAGAAAGTTCTGGTGAAGGCAGAGAACCTGATTTTGAGCTAACAGTGAACAACTTGGAAAACAAGGAGAAAAGAAATGTTAATATTACTGTCCTCAGTCTATTAACTTTTCCTGAAGACATTAAAGAATTGCATTATTCAACATTCATACATATTTTAAAATAAATGATTCCCGGTATGGGAATATGCCCCTTGGTGTGTGTGTCAGGGATGGGGCGGGGGAGGCAAAAGATGGACACAAAAGACTAGCTGGTAGAGGCAAGGGAGATATATAAGGTCATATGTGTAGGCTTTTAACAGCACACGGTGGGGCAGAAGGGGATCATAATTTATTTTTCCTGAAGGAATGCTCAGCCTTTCAAAGTTTGGGAAGTGCTGAAGTAAATGTAGTTCAGGGTTTGGCTTTTTTGTAAAAAAGGAAAAGTGTTGGAGCAATTGGGGAAGTCCCTAGAGAGGGTAACACAGTTTGAATTTCAAGAGAAATAGTGGATCTACAATGGTGTGGATGAGTAGTGCTCCCTCCACCACACAGAAAAGGGACTGGCCCTTTAAGAAACAGGTTCTAGGGTTGCTGACATCCCTCGGTTATGGAGGTGAGAGGAAAGGGGAGTGAGTAGGGAGATTTCAAACTTCACAGATCAAGCAGCTTAAAAAAATCACTGAAATTGATTTGGTATAAACATAGGAATTTTATAATTGGATTGGAAGCAAAGCCAGAAAAAAGTAGCAATGACAATAAGTTCAAGTTTGAAAAGATGGTTTTATGGCATACCGTACAAAGCAAGCAAAATTAAATAACCCCCTATGAAGAACTGATCGGTCTTACTTTAAGAAAATGCATCCACATAATTACTATTTTTACAAGAAACTCATAAATGTGAAAGAGAAAATATGTCTATGTCTGGTTCAAGCAGGAATTTTATGCATCCAGAAGTATTAAAACAAACAAACAAACAAACAAACAAAACAAACAAACCAAAACACACTTTTGTGCACAATATTACAAATCCCAAACTATATAATCAGAGCCGTGACTTTGAAGTTACTTTCACAAAAAGTAGGAATAATACAGACTGAACAATCTGTGATGCTACTGTTTATGCTGAACAACAGAATTCGGGAACCCCAGGAGGTCTGTGTGACTAACTATAGAGCAACAAAATGGGGTGCCAACCAGGATGCTCCTGCTCAAAATGTTTCTCTTATTCAGTTGTAATCACCAACCCATTTCCAGCTTCCCATCCCTTTCATCATTGTCCACTTGTCTATCCCTTATCTGTAGCCAAAATTAACCCAGTAAAGGGAGCTGGCTTGTTAGGAAGCTCTGAAGCTGGACTAAGCATAGAGTTTACATTTGTTTGAATCTCACTGGAAGAAGGCAGCTACAAGAAAAAAACAGGGCAGAATCATCAGTCAGTACACACCTTTCAAGGCAGTAATGTGTGCCAGAGTGTCCACTGAGCTATTCTGAAGTTTAGAAGGCCCAAGTCATTCTCAGATTAGAATATTAAGGTGAATACACCTTTCCAGAATATAATACATTTTTATTTTTTAAAACTACAAAAGCCAGGAAATTCAAAATTAAGGGCATAATACCAGGGTAGGAAAGGGCAAATAAGAGAGTAACTGCTCCTTCTGCAGAGCTGCTCCTCTTCAGTCCTCTTCACTATAGCCATTGGATTAAATCCACTAAAAATATTTGGGAACATTTCTGCTATGTACAGGAGACAGGAATGGATGTTCGGATGTTAGAGTTAAAACACTATATAATATTAATATTATTGATGGAATTAAAGAGATTTAAAACGCCTTTTTGTGGTTACAACACCTTACAGCAGGAAGTCAGGAGGGATCCATTTGAAGAAGAAATCATACCATCTAACAATCTGAAAAACAAACCAAGAATAGAATTTGTTCATAGATCAGGCAATCCAAAATAATGAAACCCAAGAAACATTTCTCAGATAGCATATAGGGAAGCCTCAGAGCTGAATGCTTAGAGGGATGGAACTCTTGTTCCTTCTGTAAGAGAGAAGGAGAAAAGTCAGCTGTAGCCAGCCTCATTTACATGAATTGTAATTTGCATACTTATAGTTCCATTTACTGTGTTTTGTTGCATTATTTGAAATTGGTCCACATTATGATTGCTATTCTGTACTCATGAAGAGGCATAGGAATTGAGCAGGGTGTGTCCTGGAGTAAGAGGTACCCTGACTTTACTGGAGTGGACATTCGTTTGGGAATGGTATTCAAGCTCACAAAAGAGAAGGCAGAGGACTTTGTCCTCAAGACCAGGAGCTCTGTCCCAGAGAGCAGAGACTCTGTACAAAGACCTGTTTTGCCTTGGATTTCCCCACCGCAAGGTTCTAAAGAATTGGTGGAATGATTCTGTGGGACTGGTCTCGACCGTACCACACTGAACTGGAGGCAGTGGCACATAATTGTTTTTTTAGCAGGGCCTGACTGGAGACGTGGCAGAATCACAGAACTTAATTAAGAGCTAGATTCCACTGGACAGGTGATGGTGGCATACAGCCGAATTTGCACTGAGGTCTGATCTGAGCCCCAGCAGCGCAGAACTGACTCCACTGTGCCCCAGTAGGCAGCAGTGCAGAACTGACTGAAGAGTGCCTTGACAGACAAGCTGGTGCAGAGCTGACTTCACAGCAGGGATCAACCTGAGCAGCGGCAGCAGAGCTGAATTCACAGAACTAGACCAGGTAGCAGCACATCAGAACAGGAGCAGGTAGTGTAGACTTATTTGGACTGGAGCAGACAGGCAACCCCCTTACAACCATTTCTTGGTCTAATTGGAGTCAAAACTGGACCTGTAAGGGGATGAGGATTGTTGTGTGATGAGGAGTTCTGCACCTCAATGAGGCAGACAATTTATGTGGAACTGTGGACTTGGCCAAACTCCTGACATACTATTTGGGTTTTGCTTATTTTTGATGTGTTTGTGTGTGTGCTGTATATATATTTTTTTCTTTTATTTGCTCCGCTCTCCTTTTCTCCTAAATAAATATATTTGTGGTTCCGTATTCCCAAGGATTGCTTGCAAGGGTGGGGAAATGGCCTGCAAAGGTGACCATGGAAATGTTAACTTCCCAGAACCATGGAAATGTTAACTTCTCAGAAGAGGTACAGTTCTGGTGCATGGCTAAGACATAGTTTTATTTATTTTAGAAAACAATCGCTAGACAGATTGAACCTGGCCTTTGTTTCTCCAGTTGGTACCTGACAGAAGACCTCCATGTATAAATATACCTTGGACTTTCACAAAAATAGCATGAAGGTCAGTATGGATAGATAAAGAAAAATATTTATAAAAAGGTGGACACAATAAAAAACATAATTAAAAACAGCAGCAACTCATAGGTTCAGACAGAACTCAGTCCTAAACTAAAAAATGTGTTATGTTGTACAAGCTCTGAAACAGCCTCCAGAGTACAGAGGGCTAGATTGCAACTAAGCCCTGGTCTACACTAGGACTTTAGGTCGAATTTAGCAGCGTTAAATCGATTTAAACCTGCACCCATCCACACAATGAAGCCCTTTATTTCGACTTAAAGGGCTCTTAAAATCGATTTCCTTACTCCACCCCTGACAAGTGGATTAGCGCTTAAATCGACATTGCCGGCTCGAATTTGGGGTACTGTGGACACAATTCGATGGTATTGGCCTCCGGGAGCTATCCCAGAGTGCTCCATTGTGACCGCTCTGGACAGCACTCTCAACTCAGATGCACTGGCCAGGTAGACAGGAAAAGAACCGCGAACTTTTGAATCTCATTTCCTGTTTGGCCAGCGTGGCAAGCTGCAGGTGACCATGCAGAGCTCATCAGCACAGGTGACCATGATGGAGTCCCAGAATCGCAAAAGAGCTCCAGCATGGACCGAAAGGGAGGTACGGGATCTGATCGCTGTTTGGGGAGAGGAATCCGTGCTATCAGAACTCCATTCCAGTTTTCGAAATGCCAAAACCTTTCTGAAAATCTCCCAGGGCATGAAGGACAGAGGCCATAACAGGGACCCGAAGCAGTGCCGCGTGAAACTGAAGGAGCTGAGGCAAGCCTACCAGAAAACCAGAGAGGCGAATGGCCGCTCTGGGTCAGAGCCCCAAACATGCCGCTTCTATGATGAGCTGCATGCCATTTTAGGGGGTTCAGCCACCACTACCCCAGCCGTGTTGTTTGACTCCTTCAATGGAGATGGAGGCAATACGGAAGTAGGTTTTGGGGGCGAAGAAGATGATGAGGAGGAGGAGGTTGTAGATAGCTCACAGCAAGCAAGCGGAGAAACCGGTTTTCCCGACAGCCAGGAACTGTTTCTCACCCTAGACCTGGAGCCAGTACCCCCCGAACCCACCCAAGGCTGCCTCCTGGACTCAGCAGGCGGAGAAGGGACCTCTGGTGAGTGTACCTTTTAAAATGCTATACATGGTTTAAAAGCAAACATGTGAAAGGATTACTTTGCCCTGGCATTTGCGGTTCTCCTAGATGTAGTCCTAAAGCCTTTGCAAAAGGTTTCTGGGGAGGGCAGCCTTATTTCGTCCTTCATGGTAGGACACTTTACCACTCCAGGCCAGTAACACGTACTCGGGAATCACTGTAGAACAAAGCATTGCAGTGTATGTTTGCTGGCATTCAACCAAAATCCGTTCACGCGGTGGGAGGAGGCAAAATGCGACCTTGTAATGAAAGCACATGTGCTATGTATGTAATGTTAACAGCAAGGTTTACCCTGAAAGAGTGTAGCGACTGTTTTATAAAATGTGTCTTTTTAAATACCGCTGTCCCTTTTTTTTCTCCACCAGCTGCATGTGTTTCAATGATCACAGGATCTTCTCCTTCCCAGAGGCTAGTGAAGCTTAGAAAGAAAAAAAAACGCACTCGCGATGAAATGTTCTCCGAGCTCATGCTGTCCTCCCACACTGACAGAGCACAGACGAATGCGTGGAGGCAAATAATGTCAGAGTGCAGGAAAGCACAAAATGACCGGGAGGAGAGGTGGAGGGCTGAAGAGAGTAAGTGGCGGGCTGAAGACAGGGCTGAAGCTCAAATGTGGCGGCAGCGTGATGAGAGGAGGCAGGATTCAATGCTGAGGCTGCTGCAGGACCAAACCAGTATGCTCCAGTGTATGGTTGAGCTGCAGCAAAGGCAGCTGGAGCACAGACTGCCACTGCTGCCCCTCTGTAACCAACCGCCCTCCTCCCCAAGTTCCATAGTCTCCACACCCAGACGCCCAAGAACGCGGTGGGGGGGCCTCCGGCCAACCAGCCACTCCACCACAGAGGATTGCCCAAAAAAAAGAAGGCTGGCATTCAATAAATTTTAAAGTTGTAAACTTTTAAAGTGCTGTGCTTAAAGTACTGTGTGGCATTCTCCTTCCCTCCTCCACCACCCCTCCTGGGATACCTTGGTAGTCATCTCCCTGTTTGTGTGATGAATGAATAACGAATGCATGACTGTGAAGCAGCAATGACTTTATTGCCTCTGCAAGCAATGATTAAAGGGAGGAGGGGAGGGTGGTTAGCTTACAGGGAAGTAGAGTGAACCAAGGGGCGGGGGGTTTCATCAAGGAGAAACAAACAGAACTTTCACACCGTAGCCTGGCCAGTCATGAAACTGGTTTTCAAAGCTTCTCTGATGCGTACCGCGCCCTCCTGTGCTCTTCTAACCACCCTGGTGTCTGGCTGCGCGTAACCAGCAGCTAGGCAATTTGCCTCAACCTCCCACCCCGCCATAAACGTCTCCCCCTTACTCTCACAGATATTGTGGAGCACACAGCAAGCAGTAATAACAGTGGGAATATTGGTTTCGCTGAGGTCTAAGCGAGTCAGTAAACTGAGCCAGCGCGCCTTTAAACGTCCAAATGCACATTCTACCACCATTCTGCACTTGCTCAGCCTGTAGTTGAACAGCTCCTGACTACTGTCCAGGCTGCCTGTGTACGGCTTCATGAGCCATGGCATTAAGGGGTAGGCTGGGTCCCCAAGGATACATATAGGCATTTCAACATCCCCAACAGTTATTTTCTGGTCTGGGAATAAAGTCCCTTCCTGCAGCTTTTGAAACAGACCAGAGTTCCTGAAGATGCGAGCATCATGCACCTTTCCCAGCCATCCCACGTTGATGTTGGTGAAACGTCCCTTGTGATCCACCAGAGCTTGCAGCACTATTGAAAAGTACCCCTTGCAGTTTATGTACTCGGCGGCTTGGTGCTCCGGTGCCAAGATAGGGATATGGGTTCCGTCTATAGCCCCACCACAGTTAGGGAATCCCATTGCAGCAAAGCCATCCACTATGACCTGCACATTTCCCAGGGTCACTACCCTTGATATCAGCAGATCTTTGATTGCATGGGCTACTTGCATCACAGCAGCCCCCACAGTAGATTTGCCCACTCCAAATTGATTCCCAACTGACCGGTAGCTGTCTGGCGTTGCAAGCTTCCACAGGGCTATCGCCACTCGCTTCTCAACTGTGAGGGCTGCTCTCATCTTGGTATTCATGCGCTTCAGGGCAGGGGAAAGCAAGTCACAAAGTTCCATGAAAGTGCCCCTACACATGCGAAAGTTTCGCAGCCACTGGGAATCGTCCCAGACCTGCAACACTATGCGGTCCCACCAGTCTGTGCTTGTTTCCCGAGCCCAGAATCGGCGTTCCACAGCATGAACCTGCCCCATTAGCACCATGATGCATGCATTGGCAGGGCCCATGCTTTCAGAGAAATCTGTGTCCATGTCCTGATCACTCACAGGACCGCGCTGACGTCGCCTCCTCGCCCGGTATCGTGTTGCCATGTTCTGGTGCTGCATATACTGCTGGATAATGCGTGTGGTGGTTAATGTGCTCCTAATTGCCAAAGTGAGCTGAGCGGGCTCCATGCTTGCCGTGGTATGGCGTCTGCACAGGTAACTCAGGAAAAAAGGCTCGAAATGATTGTCTGCCCTTGCTTTCACGGGGGGGTGGGGGGGAGGGAGGGAACTGGGGGCTGACGATATGTACCCAGAACCACCCGCGACAATGTTTTAGCCCCATCAGGCATTGGGATCTCAACCCAGAATTCCAATGGGCAGCGGAGACTGCGGGAACTGTGGGATAGCTACCCACAGTGCAACGCTCCGGAAGTCGACGCTTGCCTCGGTACTGTGGAAGCGCTCCGCCGAGTTAATGCACTTAATGCACTTAGAGCATTTTCTGTGGGGACACACACACTCGAATATATAAAACCGATTTCTAAAAAACCGACTTCTATAAATTCGACCTAATTTCGTAGTGTAGACATACCCTAAGTGAAGGCTATGACAATGGGGAGTAATTCCTTACCCACAGCCCTTTAATCTCCTGCTCAACCAAGCAGTGTTTTCTCAGATTTTGACTTTTACCTATAAGGGCACAAAGGTCATTTTGCTGTCTCGTCATTTTGACCACATCATCCCTTTGTTTACAACATGAACTGGCTCCCCCTTCTCCAGTGCATCAAATATAAGTTACTCATCTTCACTTTTAAGGCCCTTCTTAGCCTAGCCCATGCTGTCTCTCTTAGACATAATTGAGATGTTGACTCCTGAACTTCTTTCTGCCAATGTTGCCAGCATTCATTGATCATTTGCTACATTTTCAAACAAGAATCTTTGTGCTTTCTTCATGCATTACAGTTGCTCCTGGGAAATATCTGCAGGTCCACTTTCTTGTCCTTCTTCAGTCCTTCCTTAAAGGTCTCTTCTGCCATGATACCAAAAAAAAATTCAACAAGCTAAACATCAGGCATGAAAGCTGATGATCATTGTATCACTGTTACCTTGTGGTCCTCTGTTTGTGGACTCATCTGTTGCTGCTCGTCTTGCACTTAGATTATAAACTCTTTAAGGCACAGATTATCTCATTAGTCTGTGTTTGTACAGTGCCTAGCAGATTGAGATGCTTATCCTTGACGGGGGCTCTGATGTTCAACTGCAATACAAATAATAATAAGGAGGAAATCCTGGGCAGCTGACCAAATACTCCCCCTGTGAACTACTAAATAGGAGAAATCTCGGCTCTGCGCCCACACCACTGGCTGGCCAGAGTAGCTGGCCAGGCAAACAGGTAAGTAAACAGTGTTGCTACATGTCTTCCCCATACAAAGTTAGGGGGAGCAATAAAGGAACTGTGGCTCAGAGTCACAATTACTCCTCAGACTATAACTGGGGCAGTTCAGCTACACACAACCCCTTGTTCAAGGGTAGCTGTAAAAAGCATAATCTAGCTCAGTGTGCACAGCTTTCTCTTCCTTAAGAATTCCCTCATTTCACTTGGAGTAAATTTTGCACTTTGTTAAATGGCCACACATATATGCATATGCGGAATGAATTATTTAAAATGTCTTTTCCACTTTCCAACTCTAACCACAAGTTACAGTTTATTTCCAAAGACATAAAATGCAGACATTCTCTCAATAAAAACTTTTCAACTTCAACAGAAACATTGTGTTTTGGGTCCAATATTGTCCTATTGAAGTCAACAGCAAAACACCCATGGACCTCAAAAGGAGCAGGATATGGCCCTGTGACAGTTAAGTGCTGATATTTCTTACTGATTAGCTGATAAAATGCCCAAGCATTATCAGAAAAAAATGTAACTGAGGAAATCCTATACATATATATTGCAAAAATCTAGAAAAGAGTGAAATTTGGCTAAGAGTCCCTCAAAACAAGTTAAATGTGTCATATCTATTGAACGTTGGGTTGATGGGAATACCAAGAAGGGATTAATCTTAAGTATGATATGAATATAAAGATCACTCCTGCTTCTATTTGAGATACTAAAGTATTGAATCTGCTGATGGTTTCAACATTCTGTAAGTCTGAAATCTTCATTAATATGAATTGTAAACAATCTCCAAGAAAGTATTTGTAGGAGATATGCATACTATATGCCTCTTTCTTAAAGGTTTTCTGTAGCATCCATCACTATAGTGATGCTATCTAATTAATATCCTAGAGCTACATGGCAAGATCCCTGCTGGGCTTTGTATAATGTGTTCTTTTTCCTTCCCTGGTCATAGGATGTAATGCCAGGGTTCAATATGTATTTAGTTTAGGGGTTTTTTTTTCATTCATTAATTAATTCCTCTATGTTCAGCTATAGTAGAAACATTTTTGCAGTGGGAAGGATCTTGGAGGGTGCCCTAAAGATGGGTAAACTCCAAGCTAATCTGAGTTCCTCTGGGAAGTCTCCCAATATTCAGATACTGTAGAATTTGAGGGCTTTACCTCCATCTGCCCGGTGTTTTGTGAACTGCATTGTCTGATAAAAGCACAGTAGGTCTGTGTGGGGCAGATGTGGCTGGTATCTAATTCATTGATGGCCTTGAAGATCAGGGCCAAGACCTTCATCTGATACTGGAAGCAGGCTGGGAGCTAGTGCAGGAAGTAGAAGGTGAGTGGAAATCCTCACAGCAACCCATTGAGGAGGTGGCAGCCATATTCTGCGCAAACTGCAATGCTTCCACTTTCAGACCCAAATACAGTGGATAACTGTAATCTATTCTGGAGGTGATAAATGTGAATCACTGCAGCCAAATCCTCATCAAGAAGAAGGGGTGAAATTTCCTAACAAGTTAAGTTAGAAAAAGGATGGTTTTGCCTCTGATGCTTCCTGGTTTAGGGATAATGATGAAATATGTTAGACACAATTCCCAAACAGTGCTTTTTAAACTAGCATTCCAGCTGGTCAGATTTCCATGTTTACTATAAACTACCAAATAAAGTTTTATAAACAAAATTATCAAGTGAAGTTATAAGCAATATTGGATATATGTTCACATGCAGTTTTAAATGTGTTGAAGTGATTTAAGAAAAAAATAATGACTCACAAATGTTTAATTCTCAATCTGAAGGTTAAAATGGAAAGAACGGAAGGATTTTACACAACATCCTGTTCTAGCCTGGATAGCATATAGTAAAATAGAAAAATGCAGTCATCTAATTGCCATCTTCACCTATACAGTTAAAGGAGGTCTGCTATAAAAATTACATGTAATCAATATGAATGCAGCTATAAAAGGAACCAAACATGGCACCCTGCAATTTAATTCTGTCTTTATTATTACTTAGTTCTAGTTTTATATTTATAGTATGCATAATGACTGAATTCATTTTAGAACTGAGCCAAAAAAAAAAAAAGCTGCTTTTTTGACAGCTTCGGAATCAGCTACTTGTTTTTCTTCAATCTGAATTTAAATAAAATTGTGCTACTTTGAGGCTGAATTGAGGAGGGTCTGACATTGTTCTGAGCCCAGTGAGAAAGCAGAGGCATCCCTAAAGCTATGGGAAGAGTAACGATTAATTATGTAAAGAAAAAATATCTGAGATATAATACAAAAGCAAAAGGGGTAAAATAACCAAGGGCAAGTTAACAGCAGCAGCAGCTAACTGATTAGAATGCAAAAAGCATATTATTTTGAGGTTCCTGTCTACTTGTGTCAATGAGTTCAAAAGGGGGCTTTTTGGATTACTTTGGCAATGCCTTTAAAAATGAGTATTCTCTATTTTAAATTAATATGCATAATTTAACAGGTGATACATTTTATGTGAGAGAACTCTTTTCTAATAAGTTGTTTTACTTCATTTAAATCTCCATGTGCCTCTCCATTAGAAGCTTATACAGTTAGATCCATCCTATCTAATTTCACATGCACATTTAAGTCCCAGACAAAGCTGGTGGGGATTTATTTTGAGTCTTGTACCCAACGGTCTGTGTGACTGCATGCAGAGTATTTAGGTTCTCTGCACAATATTTAATGGGAAAAGAGTTGGTATGCACAACTGGCAAGATCTGTGTATTTGAATGTGGATTTCAGATATGGGTACAAGACAAGGGAGCATGTTACAATGTATTTATTGATAATAAAATGAACCTCATTGGTGCCAAATGTGTAGGGACTGGCTAGTTTGGTAGCAAGGGAAGAACTTCCTTATAATGTGTTTATATGCATATGATGCTACACTTTGATAACTAAAAACTTGTTGCTAAGAGCCCATATAATCCCTGCAGCCTACAGAAGGATAAGGAGGTTTACTCCCTTCAGGACAAGGAGGAGAGAGAGAGAGAGCATTCTCTACAGTCTTAGCTAACAGGCACTTGGCTTTTAGCAGAATATAATTAGAAATCTGGGAGAGGAAACGTTTGACCATGATATGATCAATAACACATAACATAATCACTGTCATCTGTTGTCATGCTTTAAGGCTTCAGCCATTCACTTGCAAGCGTTAGGAAGAAATTCCCTCACCGTCCTCCCTCCTCCCACCTCATGCACAGTTCTGTTTGTTTTTCTCACCTTCCTCTGAAGCATCAGAGATCTGCTATAGCTAGAGAAAGGATATCAGTTAGGGTGAACCCGCATTCTGAGATATAACAGAAAATCCTGTATTAGATGCCTGGCTGGTGTGTTTTGTTTACATGCACAGGGCTAACTGATGGCCAGATCTGGCATTAAGGAAGTAATTTTCCCCTTGATCACATTGGCAGAGACCTTAGAGGTTTTTCACCTTCCTCTGAAGCACAGGGTGTGGATTGCCAGATAGGATAACCTGGGAATATCTCATTTAATCAGTTCCTTCCCATCTCAGCTGTCTCAAACATTGGCGATGCCTTGGTTTCTCCTGTTCTATCTGCAGCACACGCCAGTTTAGTTTCCTGAGACTAAAATGTTGTAGTATAATTGAAGTCATTGGGCTCATCATAGGGGTCTCTGGGTGGAATTTAATTGCCTGTGATATTCAGGTGGTCAGATTAAATGATCTAATGGTCCCTTCTGGCCTTAAACTCCATGAAACAATAAAGAACTACAGACATTATATCTACAATTCGCATTCTACATAAATATAGAATGGAATCAAGAATGTGTCATAAAATTTAATTGTCAAGGATTTATCTTTTCCTATCCCCTGTTAATTTACTTTTTGTCACTACACATGACTTACATATTGTTTAAACAAGTCAAACTCTTGGCCAGTACCAAAGGACATAAAGAATGTAAGTCACATACTTCTCTTGTGGAGTTATTTTCATTTTAAACAAAAGGTAGGGTCATTTTCTAAAATAATAAGAGTGTGATGTGACCTTATTTTTTACCTCAATGGAATTCTGTTTACAAGTCAATGGGCATGAACTATATTTTTTAGATTTTGAAGAATGTATGGGATTTCTAATTAAGTTTATATTCAGTGTTTTTGTAAATTAAGGAAAACATTTGATTTGATCATTTTTGATCAGTAAGTAATCTACTCTGCTCTAGTCCTGCCCACTCATTAATGAAGTAAAAGACATGGTAACAAAACAAAAAAACATATAAAATATGTATAGATAATTTCAGGTGAAGAGCAGATCACCAGAGACGTAGTGAAAAAATGAAAATATGTACATCTTTAGTACACAATTAATGGTGTGCCAAGAGATGCCTTCCAGCTTTTCAGACTAACTTAATCAGAACTCTGGGAGCTCTGTGAAGCTCCAAAGTTTGTCCCTTCCACCATCAGAAATTGGTCCAATAAAATTGGTCCATACGTATCTTGTGTCTCTTTCATCTAAACAGACTTTTTTTTTTTCAAAATTCTCTTTTTTAACTTTAGAATACGTTTAAAATTATGGGAAATTAGATTATAACAATTCTGAGAGGCTGTAATTGCCACAGTTATACTGTATCTCCATGTCTTGTTTCAAAGGTTTCTGAAATCAATAGAAAGACTCTATCTGACTTCAGTGGGCAGGTATAGGGTCTGGAAAGGGAGATTTGAAAAGTTTTGGCATAATTACAGAATATACGGGATAGGCATCCAAGTTTGGGGCCCAAATTCAGCTATGAGGTAATGTAAGTGGAAAAAATTTCTACTGACTTGGAAGTGGTACCCACTTGTGCCAGGGCTGAATTAGGTCTATTGATTAATGGGAATTAATGGTGTGGGGATGCTGAACTTGGTAATAAATTATATCTTATCTGAGGCTCTTTATTTAAGACATCAGGCCAAATTCTTTTTGAGTTATATGGGTAAATCTCCCACTGAAGTCATGCTGAAAGTTTTATGCAGATAAATTGGTTTAAAAGTTTCTTATTAGTGAGTTTCAGAGCAATAGACTCAGGGCTATGACTTTTTGAAATAAATCAAATTGTATGTAAAACACCGCACATAGGGATAAATATAGCTTCACAAAATAACCTTGAGAAATATTGGCAGAAATTTTACATTGATAGTTTATTTGAAGAAATTATGTGTAAATATTGTTAATTATCTGTTCAATATTTCAATCATAAATACTTCATAGATACTTCCTTTCACATCTCCTTCTCTCACATTCTTTGGGATGTGTATTTTATTTCAATATCTGTTGAAAAATATAGAAAAGAGTAATTTTTTTTGAAAATGAGTTGTTTGTAAGAGTTAAACAGAAAGGAATAAAAATTGTCACAACTATTAGTGGAAAGGTGCCATAACAAAGCATAGTAATTTGAATCCTAAGCAGTTTTAAAATGGAAACAATTATCTGTGTCTGATCTCAGCTAGATAGTATGTTATTTGTGATGCTACATTGTACATTTAGGTCCCAATCCAGCAAAGCACTTACAATCTTAACTTTAACGGGACTTAAGCACATTCTAAAAATTAAGCATGTAATTAATTGCTCTGCCTTGCTGAATCAGGGCCTACAATACAATGATAATTGAATGTATAGTGGAAATCCTGGACTCACTGAAGTCAATCGCAGAATGCCGATTGACTTCAATGGGACCAGGATTTCACCAATATTGTCAATGCAGGACCTCAGTTCCACAGGAAATAAAAAAAATCCATTTCCATTAACTACTGTTTATAGCCAATGGAGACATATTTAGAATTAATTTAACATGAGTGCAGCTTTTTAAAATTATTACCAATAGAAATTTATTTATAAGGATCAGCCAAACTACAGAAAATATCCTCTTGAATGACCATCTGTGCTTCCTTCTTTGCCACTTAGTTAAAGTTAAATATTCTCTAAACTGGCAAAACCTTGAGAATCACATTCCTACTTCTGCCCCTCTCTAGACTTTTACCCGCTCTCTCCCAGATGGAAACACCCATACATTCTATGTTATATTTCATATGCTCTATTTTCTAACTCTTCCAGTTCAATCACTTTGGTGCCTCCTCACCTTGAGGGCCAATTTTTTTTCTTTCAGTTACACTGACGTAAGGCAAGAATGACTCCTCTGTTATTTGGTTTTGAATTTACACCAGTACAACTGTGATAATTTACCCCTGTATCTTTAAATGTTAATTTCTTTTACACAAAGGCTTCTCTTCAGAAAACTCAGGAGGCTTGTCTAGCACTGAACAAGTCTGCACATCTCAGCACTTAATCTTCTATACTTTTTTTCTTTCTTCTGGTCCAAATCTACAATCTGCTATGCCGTCACTCTTGCTCATTTCCTAGATATGTCTCCTGCATCCATATTCTATAGTTACATAACTACCCACACCTGCTCTTTCACTCACAAAGTACAGATTTTTCTTTTATATTTTTAAATTTGAACTATAGCCTCTATTTCCATTTTACTAATCACAGATGATCACAAATCCTTCAAACAAGGCAGCGTAGTTCACTAGAAAACCTTTAGCTAAACTGCTGTTACTACTGACTGGCTCTTTAAAACAGAAGGCTACCAGTTTTTGTTCAATTCTGAATCTTCTCCAAACTAGCCTAATACTTACTGCACATCAATTTCCATAAAACTATTATACCTTCTTCTCTGGTTAATCACTTATCTCTGGATTCTGCCACCTTTACTCATGGTATTACCTCTCTTTGCAAGTAGCTCCATTGGTTTCAAAGGGACTACTCAGTGTACACAGATAGTATTCATTTCAGAATCCCTTTGAAGACTGCAGATACATAGAAAGAGGCAGAATTAAGGTTGCTCAAATAGCTTTAATTTGGTCATTTCCTGACTTTTGAGTCCCAAATTCTGTAACGCTGACATTCTCTG